AAACCTTCAAATATGTAGAATGTGGAAAGAATTTCAAAATACAGTTCTTACTATATTAGACATAAAGAATCTAACTGGAGAGAAGCCCTATAAATGTAATGAATGTGAGGAAAGCATTCAATGTCAATACAAATACAATCAGAAATTAAAGAAACCATAATGAGAATAAACTTTGTGTATGGAATATGGGGATAGTTTCAGGTGTAATTCTGTCTTCAACATCAAAGAAATCCACACTGGGAAGAGACTATAATGAGTGTGGCAGAGCTTTCAAATGCAGAAATCACCAGCTTATTCATACTGGAGAGTAGCCATTTCAATCTAAGGAGTGTGGAAAAAGCATAAGTGTCAGTGCAAAACTAATTCAGCCTACAAAAAAAAATCCACAGTGGGGAGAAACCATTAATATATTAAGTGTGAGAAAGCTCTTAAACGTGTAACTTCAGACATTGTCAGCATCAGGAAATCCGCATTGGGAAGACACCTTATGAGTGAAGTGATAGCAGGGAAGCCTTCAAGTGTATCTCCCAGGTGAGTTAATATCAGAATACCTGTACTAGAGAAGAGCCCCCCACATTGTTAATGCAAAATTAATTGGGCATTCAGGAATCTGTCATGGGAAGAACTTAGCAAATGCATGTTGTGTGAGAAGGGTTTTAACTGTAGTTCTGAAAGTACCTTCCAATTTTGATATGCTTCAGAATATGTACACTAGAGAAAAACTCTACCAGTGTAAGTGCTACAGGAAAGCATTCCATATTGTTCAAGAATTAAATGGGCATGATGATAGGAAGAAACTCTTTATATGTATGAAGCATGTGAAAGGTTTCAGCTATAGTTGAAATGGTATTATGCATTACAGAGGTGAGAAATCCAGTGACCGTAAAACAAGAGTTACATCCAGTTTAGACAGCCTAGGGTATACACTTGGAAACCATTCTAATAATACATCTGGAAAGCTTCAGCGGTAAAGTAGTACTAATATATCATCTGATAGTCCATTCCAGGGTGAAAGTCTAACAATGTAATCAATGTGATAAAGGCATTATTTCTGTTTTTAAATCTTTTATTTTTAAAGTGAAATAATTGATATTTCAATTTTTATGTACCCACCATCTAGGCTAAGCAAATTTTGGCATTTTGCCAACATTTCAAAACTATTTCTTTTACAACTAAAGCCTTGTTTCCCCTGTCCTTCTTCTTTGTTTCTCCTTCCCTTACCCCTCCTCCCAGTGTAAACATCTATGTTGGAGTTAGTGTGTATCAAATTATCCATTTATATTATATATATTTATAATTTATGCATTTTTAACATGAAAACATTTAACATTCTGCACTGTGTCCTTTTGTCACATGCTTTTTTTTAAAACTTAGCATGATTTTTATGAGATTAACATGTTGAAGCTTCTAGCTCTAGTTCATTTTAACTAATGAGTAGAATTCTCTACAGCCTACTTGCCTACTCTTACAATTTCCAGAAGCGCAATAGTGAATATCCATGTATGTGTTAAACCAACTCAAATACCAACTTCTATAAGGAGAAGGCCAAAGCAAAGGGCTCTTCATGTTTAATAGTTGGTAAGTTCAGGGGCGCCTTGGTTGTTCAGTCAGTTAAGTGTCGGACTTCAGCTCAGGCCATGATCTCACAGTTCATGGATTTGAGTCCTGTGTCAGGATCTGTGCTGACAGCTCAAAGCCTGGAGCAGTGCTTTAGATTCTGTGTCTCCCTCTCTCTCTCTGCTCCTTCCCTGCTCTTGCTATCTCTCTCTCTTAATTTAAAAAATTAAAAGAAAATAGTTGGTAAGTTCATTCTAGTTATAAAATAAGGGAGTTAGACAATGAAGGTAATGACTCAGTAAGAAATCAGTAGATGTAGTGTGCTCACTACATACTAAGTGAATAAACTCAATTTCCTACAACAAGCATATACTAACACTTTTTAAAGCAAGTAGAGCATGCTAAAACAATCTCCCCCAACAAATATGTAGAAAAAAAAAAGTTTTCAGTATTTATATCATAATCTTGTCATCTAAAGTAGGTTCCCTAGGAGGAGAATATAAAACTTTTGTAGTCAGTAGTAGTGCTTTCTCTTTATTAATGGAGGCATTAGACAGAAACTCAAATTCGTTGAGTTTATAATAAGATACAGTTTGTGTTTGTCAGAGTTTAGTTAAGTAAACCAGATTTATTACATGGTTTTAGAAGCTTATAAAATCATTGGGAAGGTTGGGGTGCCTGGGTGGCTCAATAGGTTAAGTATCCGGCTTCAGCTCAGGTCATGACCTCACAGTCCGTGGGCTCAAGCTCCACATTGGGCTCTGTGCTCACAGTTCAGAGCCTGGGGCCTGCTTCAGATTCTGTGGCTTCCTCTCTCCCTCACTCTGTCTCTCTGCCCCTCCCCCGCTCGCTCTCTGTCTCGTCTCTCAAAAAATAAAATAAAGACATAAATTTTTTTTAAAAAAATCATCGGGAAGTTTGAAATAAATTTTAGGTAAATTTCTGGGAATGACTCCCACAGCAACACTACAGGTCTATACTACCAAAGGTCAAAGGTACTATAATTCCTGCAATAGATTTGAAACTGCCTTCTAGATAACAGCTGGGAGCTTCTGAACCATGCTGCCTCTGTGGTGAACTGCACCACTTGAATCATATAGGTTAATCCGGCATGAATACATCTATCAGTGGAACCTACCCAGAAGCCCAGCCACAAGAAATATGGGAGATTTGGTGTTCAGCTTTCCACCTTGTAGTACAGGAAAGCACTTCAGAAGAAGGCTGGAAAAGATGTTAAGTGAGGCACTCCACAGTATTTACCACATATAGTATGCCTTGATTGGACTCAGACTACACTGGCATCTCATCTGGCTAACGCTCCTCTTTTTAATGCCTTTAGGTAACTGGTTGTAATATTTTAAAATACTTCTTCAGCAAAACATAGGCATTGATTTCTCAAAAGCATGTATAAGAATGTTCATCCCTTTAAGATTTCTCATTAAATACCATTGTTACTTGTGACTTATGGTATTAACAAAGTTTTGACCAAAACTGAATCAAAGTTTTGGGGCTTTTAATTTTTTAATTTACATAAAATGCCTCTCTGTGTCATGTGTGCAAGATTTTTTAGGTCATAGGAATATAACCTACAGGGTCATAGTGCATATGCATTTTCAATTTTATGTGATATTGCCCAGTTGCTCCCCAAAGCCCATCAGTGGGCTCAAGAACAAAGTATGAGTACCCATTTCCCTATATCTGCATCACTTGTTCTCATAGTTACTATTTTCTTGCTTTGGATCTTGATTATCTGATAATGGATATTCTCATTTTATTCTTCCTGTTTCTTACACTCTTTTGTATTTTCCATCTCTTTGTCAAACTGTGCTATGGTCTGTGTCTGTATTGTTTCACTAAAAGTTTCATCAACTGCATCTCCTGAGGCTCCAAGAACATGAGTAGTTACCACCCAGAAGCCTGGTTGGATCAGAAAAATAGACTAGACAGCAGTCTGCCTAGAATCAAAGTTCCCTTTGTATTATTCCTATTTTAATTTGAACTGAATTACAGAGCTTGCAGTCTGACCTCATCAGGATCTGCTATTTATCTGTCTGTGGATATATAGGACTGGAAGCATTTGAAGATTCCCAGGTGGTGTTAAGGCTCTCAGTGACTGAGTTGAGGCAATGAGAGATAAAAGTCGGGATCACAATGTAAAGATAGCCAAAGAGTCTCCTACATCACTGTGAGATCTCTAATGTTCATATTTCTAGGACTCAGTTTCTTCAGTGGAATAATAGATTTTGGGGTGAAGAAGGCAAATCTCCTAACATGTTCTTTGTCAAGCCAAAGGCACTAAGAATAAACACTGGCGATTTTGGAGCAGTTTGGATGCTGATGATGTGTAAAGAGAAATTAAGAATACCTAAAGATTAATTTCTCGAGAGTTACTATCTAGAATGGTGAATAAATGTGTTCATATAAATGTGCTTGTATCTGTATTTACAGCTGATTTCCATTATAGAATAGCATGTGATCAAAATTAATGGCAGAGTTATTAATAGTACTGCTTCCCGCTCTTCTTTATTGTGACTGGGCCTTTTTAATAGCCTCCTAACTGCTCTCCTGCCTAACTTAAATCCATTTTTCACACTTCAGTTAAAACTTGATAGATCAACGAAATCCAACTTGATCCAATGAGCAGAACCAGCTTGAGTACAGCCAAATAAGAGAATCCCCCAAAGCTAGCGCTCATCCAGGATCACCACTGGCTTTCTCTGCCCCTTGGTAAGGTTGAAAGACTGAGCCACCCCAAGCCCCACGGCGAGAAGGCCGCGTTCTCCCAAGGGTCGGCTCAGAGGGAACCGTGAAAACACAAAAAATCGCCAGGGTCCTAAAGCGGAGGAAGCGCGGTCCCAGAGACGCGCCTAGCGATGACGCACTTCCGGCGCGCGCCTTCTGCCTTTCGCCTGCAGTCAGCTTGCGTCCGCCTACCGTCGGAGGCCGGTGCTGAGTGAGAGTCTTCTGTCCAGCGACCCCGGCTGGCGATTTCTAGATTCTCGAGGCCTCTGGAGGCCTACCCGGACAGAGTCGGGCGACAGCGTGGCTACCGAGGAGAGCGAGGCGGTCTGCGTGCTGTCCACCCTTCCCCGCACTTCACTCGTCGCCGCGACTGCATAAGGAAATGGGGGTTGAGGGTGTGGGCCGTCAGTGGAAGTTGTAGCCCCCTCGGGTGACCCACAGGCTGCAGTTTAGTCCGTTATCCCACTGAGCGCTTGTTAAGTGCAGTGTAGTTTAGGTTCCGGGGATGCAGCAATGAGTGAGACAGCCGCAGGGAACTTTCAGCCCAATGGGGAAGTGGATATTAATTCTGACCATACCTCTGCCCCTGCTCATAATGACCCCATTGATTTGGGGCAGAAGAACGTTTTGAATACTCAAGGGGCCTCTTGGCCTGGCGTCCCGCAGCTTCTTTATCGTCGGTCTTGCCGCACACTCCCCTTCCTTGCTACAGGCTCCTTCCTGTTGTACTTCTAAAACTTCTTTAGGTCAGTATGCCCTCCCCTCGCCCCTTTGGCCTAGTTAATGCCACTTCTCAGGTCTTCCTTGATTAAGGCAATATCCCTGCCTTCAGTAGCACTGTTGACATCATCATGGGTTTGCAGATCACCGTATACCTTAGCACTTAACACAGTTGTAATCTCACATTTTAGTGCAAGTCACACGAGAACAAGAAGTTTCTTACATGTGTTTGAATCCCTAGTGCCAACCATATATCCATACACAGAGTATACCTCAATAAATAGTGGCTGAAAGGGCAAATCTGTTTGTAATTGCACTGTAAGATACTTACTATAGGAAAAGAAAGGTGCCCAGTAGATCTGACTTAATTTGGATCTTCAGGAAATGTCTTCCACATTGAGATATGAAACTGTGAAAAGGAGTTAACTGGTTAAAAAGGGGGGCAAGTCAAGAAAGGCTATTAGAGGCAGGGGAAACAGCATGTGCTAGGACGTATTTGGGACCCAGTCAGCCATTTAATACTTGCGTTATGACATTTCTTTTAATTAAAAAAGTAATAATATATTTCTAGTAAAAAAAATTAGGGAACAATTAAAGTGGCAGAAGGAAAAAATAAAAATCATCAATGAGACTACTATTCACAGATACTGTTTTAAAATTTATATCCATTGATTGGTTTTGTTGATATAGGTACCCATGGATGATTTTTACACTTGAAAGTTGAAATATGAAATTTTTCACCTGCATTTGAATATTTTCCTATTTTGTGAAATACTCTACAGCATGATTTTTTTAAATTAATTAATTTATTAGTTTTTAAATTTTAGAGTGTGAGCAGGGGAGAGGTGCAGAGAGAGAGGGGGAGAAAAAATCTTATGCAGGCTCCATGCTCAGTGTGGAGCCAGACACGGGTCTTTATCCTAGGACCCTAGCATCATGACCTGAGTGGAAATCGAGTAGGACACTCAACCAACTGAGCCACTTAGGCACCCCACCATGGCATGATTTTTTAAATTAATAATTTATTTTTAAATTACATCCAAGTTAGCATATGGTGCAACAATGATTTCAGGAGTAGATTCCTCAATGCCACTTACCCATTTAGCTCATCTCCCTCCCACAACCTCCAGCAACCCTCTGTTTGTTCTCTATATTTAAGAGTCTCTTATGTTTTGTTCACTCCCTTTTTTTATATTATTTTTGCTTCCCTTCCCTTACATTCACGTTTTGTATCTTAAAGTCCTCATATGAGTGAAGTCATGTGATATTTGTCCTTCTCTGACTAATTTCGCTTAGCATAATACCTTCCAGTTCTATCCATGTAGATGCAAATGGCAAGGTTTCATTCTTTTTGATTGCCAAGTAGTACTCCATTTTGTCTGTATGTGTGTGTGTGTGTGTGTATACCACATCTCCTTTATCCATTCATCTGTTGATGGACATTTGGGCTCTTTCTATACTTTGGCTCTTATCGATAGTGCTGCTATAATCATTGGGGTGCATGTGCCCCTATGAAACAGCACACCTGTATCCCTTGGATAAATAACTAGTAGTGCAATTGCTGGGTTGTAGGATAGTTCTTTTTTTTAATTTTTTTGAGGAACCTCTATACTGTTTTCCAGAGTGGCTGCACCAGTTTGCATTCCCACACAACATGATTTTTAATGGCTACTCTGTGGTTTCTGATTTGTACCAAATTTTTGGATATAAGAAATAACAACTCACTGTGATGGATGCTTATAAGTAGAAATCTTTGGACATATCTCAGATAAATTCCTCAAGTTGAAACTTTTAAAAATTGGTTTTAAAATTTAACTACCTAGGGACATCTGGGTGGCTCAGTCAGATAAGCCTCTGACTTCAGCTCAGGTTTTGATCTCCCCGTTCATGAGTTTAAGCCCTGCATCAAGTTATGTGCTGACAGCTCAAAACATGGAGCCTGCTTTGGATTCTGTGTCTCCCTCTCTCTGCCCCTCCCCTGCTCACACTCTGTCGTTCTGTCTCTTAAAAATGAATAAACATTAAAACATTTTAAAATAAAAAATATAGGGGCTCCTAGGTAGCTCAGTTGGTTAAGCCTCCGACTTCCACTCAGGTCATGAACTCAGTTTGTGAGTTCGAGCTCTGCATTGGGCTCTGTGCTGACAGCTAGCTCAGAGCCTGGAGCCTTTCTTCAGGTTCTGTTTCCCTCTCTCTCTGTTTCTTCCCTGCTTGCACTCTGTCTCTCGCACCCTCTCAAAAATAAATAAACATTTTAAAAATAATTAAAATATAATAAAATGTATGAATAAAATTTACCTAAGCAAATTTAAACTACTACATGAGAGTGGTAAGAAAAAGAATTACCTGGGGCTTCTGGGTGGCTCAGTCAATTGAGTGACTAGATTTTCAGTTTAACCATGGCCCCAGGGTTGGGTTGAGCACCAAGCTGGTGTGGAACCTGCTTAAGATTTCTCTCTCTCTCTCTCTCTCTCTCTCTGTCTCTAAGAACAAATAAACAAACCAAAAACAAACAAACAAACAAAAAACCCACCAAGTATGGCTCTTGAAATTTGGTAAATTTAGCATAAATCCAAGCTTGGTGAAGTCCCTTAATCTCTTAGCTTTTGTTTACTCATCTGTTTGGAGAGGTGGTTGGGGAGGGGAGGGGAATGGCCCAAAAACCTAAATCTCATTTAAAGGAATGTTAATAAGGTTTAAATGAGAAGATGTGTATAAAGCATTTTAGCATGGTGCTGAGCATGTACAAGCTATTAATAAAAAGTTATTACTAAATTTGTAGATTAGTTTGGAGGAAGATTAACATTTACAGAAAAGTTTAATATTGATTGTTTCCATCCAGGATCATGTTTTGCCTTTTCATTTATGTTTCTCAGTAACATTTTATAATTTTATTTACATGAATTTGTTATATTTCTTACATTAAAAAATTTTTTAAATGTTTATTTTTGAGACAGAGACAGAACATGAGCAGGGGAGGGGCAGAGAAAGAGACAGAATCTGAGGCAGGATGCAGGCTCTGAGCTGTCAGCACAGAGCCCAATGTGGGGTTCAAACCCATGAACCGTGAGATCATGATCTGAGCCACCCAGGCACCCTTGTTATGTTTCTTATTAAGTTTATTATTGGCTTAAAAAAAAATCTCTAGACTTTCTCTAGAGAGAGACAGAGCACAATCTGAGGATGAGCAGAGAGAGAATGAGAGGGAGAATCCCAAGCAGGCTCCTCACCATCAGTGTACAGAGCCTGAAGCTGGGCTCAGACTCATGAAACCATGAGATCATGATCTGAGTTGAAATAAGAGTCAGACGCTTAACTGACTGAGCCACCCATGTGCCCCTCTTGGCTTCTTTTTTTTTTTTTTAATGTTTTGTTTTGTTTTTGTTTATATATATTTTTGTCCCACTGTATTGTTTTACATAGGAGAGATAGCACTACCTAGTGGTTATGAATACTGCTCTTGTGGCCTAAGATAATTACTGAAACTTTCTAAGTCTTATTTATTTATTTATTTGTAAAATGAGGACAATAGTTTTACATATCTGCTAGTAGTATAATGAATGGAAAGTGATGAGCTCTGAAGCTGGCACATTGCAAGGCTAAGGTGAATGTCAGCTGTTATTAGCAGCTAATACAGGTTTGCAGGTTTAAAAGAAAGTCACTGCCTGGGTCAGGCTCACTCTTAGTTCTCTTTGCTTCTTCCTTCAGCCCCTGCCCTTCACTGAGAGAAGCCCAGGTGATGGCAGCCATGCCCCTGAAGGCCTGTTACCAGGTGAACTGAGACTCCCTCAGATGCTTCAAGAAATCTTACTTCAATGAAATGAGAGATAAGAGGGATGATTTTGGCAAAAGCAATAGAGCCAAAGCAGATGGCCCTGCTCATCCTCACAGTGGGACTGGATGCTGGGGGAGAGAGCTGATGATGACAGACTGAAAAGCCAGAGACTCCAGGGTGCAGGATGCAATGGCTGGAGAGAATAAGGAATAAGTACAGCCTCCTTAACTCCTATTATCTCTGCTGAGCTGGAGGGCCCTCAGGTTCAGTAGTGACCCCCACGGGATCCATGAGATAAGGAACTCAGGCTGATGGTGGAGATATTCAGTGTTTGGTGGGAGTGTTCTAGATCAACACGGTTGTAAGGTTCTTGGGAGGCAGAACCAGAGGGATGGTAGGAGGAAGAAAAGAAGGGGAGCCTATACCATTTGTCTTTCCAAAGGAGAATAAAGTTGAGGGCTAGGGATGAGGGACGAAAGAATTTTTTCCAGAAAGATACACAGATGTCTGTCTTGAGAGTCAGTTGAGGGAAGCAGCATGCAGCAATATGAAATGTGGTACTAGGTGACAGGAAATTTCAGAGTAGATTCCCATCAACCCTCCAGGGCATTGTAGCTTTGAGCTAGTCACTTGACCACTTTGTGACTCAGCTGACCTCATCTGTCAGATGATGGCAGTGCTGTTCATTGCATGTTAGGGAGAAAGATTTTGCCAGGTGCCTTTCAGCTCTGCAGTGTGGTGAGTTGTTAAGTACTGCTTAATGGGCTCAGCCTTCTTGGGACTTCTCTATGTCATGTCTCAGCATCTGTGATCTTATCCCAAGTACCATTCCCAGATCATCTATTGTCTGTGGGCCCTTTTTGGTTAATAATGCTTTGCCTGGAAGGCTAATCTCAACACATCAGAAACAATTCATTGTATCCCTTGCCCTTCCCACTCCTCCTGCACTTCTGCCAATTGCTAGTATCCCCATGCCACCATCCCTGGTCACTGTTTTTAGATTTTTGTCGTTATTGACTCTTCAATCTCCTTTGTCCCCTTGTCCATTCAATCCAAGTCCTATTGTTCCCGTCTCAGCACACCTGATTTTATCATCCCTTTCCTGGATATTGTCAGCAGAGCCTCTCAACAATTTCCTTTGTCTCGTCTTTGGCTTTCCTGTCATCTGACATTTATTGCCTGTAGAGCTCAGGCTCAAGTTCTTGAATTTGAGTTTATCGTTGTATCATGATCCATCTAAGTGCTTTAACCCAGAGAGTTGAAATCAGATTGGCATTTTACAAAGATCTTTCTATGTGCTGGACAGAAGGTGGACTTGGGTGATAAACCTGGAGTTAGAGACCATTGACTCGGTCCAAAGGACAGTTGCAGAGGACTTGAATTATGTGGTGATTAATGATGTTGCATAGGAGTCAGATCCAAGAAATATATAGAGGATAGAATTGGCAGCATTTGATTGCTGATTGCTTGCCAGAACCAAGCAGTTACTACAGGAATAGTTGAGAATGATTCTCAGGTTTCCAGCCAGGAAGACCAAGCTGAAAGTGGTGCTACAGATTGAGACAGGGGGTCAAGATAATGACCAGCATCAGGTTTGAGCACTTAGTGTTTGTTTCTCCTTTTACTGTGCAGGTCATATGAGTTAGAAGCATGTTAGGGAGGGTGATGAGTTCAGAATTGCACATGTCAGGAATGTAACTGGCATGTAGGTCACTAGAGCATCTGAGGCAGGCACGTGACTAATGCCAGGATCACATCAGTCTTTGGAAGAAGGATCATGTCTACATGGGGAAGGCACCAGGGAGACGAGAAGGACCACATTGGTCTATCTGAGAAGGAAGACTCTGGGCTGATAGGCAGTTTGATTGGTGGAGGGCATAATATCTTAGACAGATAAAGACAGCCAAAGAGCTACCCAGAAGCAATTAGAATCAGGAAACACTTTGTCCTAGGAAGACTTCCTGGAGTTGAGGAGGTTTTTTCCAACACCAGAGTACTTTCTGCTGGAGGGTCAAGCAGGGGCAGCATAGCCCCCTTTTGTTAAGGGTGGAGGGGTGGGTGGCACAGCCGGGTTGTGCATCAGGTGAAGGTTTCAGGGAACAGTGCCCTTTGGGATAAACCATGACTGTTCCCAGTAGGTGGGTATGAGGATTGCAGTAGGGCAGGCAGATGTGGACACACAGCAGGACTCTGTGTAAGTTCAGGGAGCAGGATGGATGGGCTGGACTGTCATCGGTAAAGTAAGGACAGGTAGCAAGGGACATTGATGGATGTCACCCATGAGAAGTAAAGTTGGAGGCCAGTCATCTGTTCATAGAGTGTCTGAGAGACCAGAAGGGCATGTGCAAAAATCATAAGGGTTTATTTCAGGAAAGTGAATTTGTAAAAGATTTTCTGTTTTAGTTTTCTGTGTTGTGACATTGTCTCTGGTAATAGTCTTGTGTGCAGTTAGAAGCAACTCTGATAGTGATGGGAGTCTCAGAGTTGCTGGCTGTAGGTGTGGTCAAGCATCAGCACTCAGGGCCCTGTCCTGTCATGGGACTCTCCCTCAGCCCCTCACACTGTCCCCTGGGCCCCACACTCTGGCTCTGAGCCAAAAGAGTGGCTCTGGTGCAGCAGGAACCTCTTGTTTTAGGAAGTGGTGACCTTTGAGGACATGGCTATCTACTTCACCTGGACAGAATGGGCTGGCCTGTCTCCTGCACAGAGGACCCTGTATAGGGAAGTGATGCTGACAAATTATGGGAACTTAACTTCCCTGGGTAAGGCCACTTTGCCTTTGGGACTCAGACTCGTACGACGAGGTTAGGGTGGATTGTGTCACAAATCTCACAACCTTTCACGTCTTTGCAGGGGCAGAGACTCCTAATCCCTCAGCCCCAGAGGATGTCAGGCAGGGACGGAGGGAGAAGTCTGAGGTTACTTTGGGTCTGATGTGGATTTGACCATTCTCTGGTGAGAACAGTTCTCATCATCGGGGTTTTGTGCGGGGCACTGTGGGAAAGAAATATCCTCTGTTGAAGTTCATGCCTTCAGCTCTCCCCGTGGTCTAAGGAAGATGCCCCTCATTGCTTTTCTGTGCTTGCATGTGTCTCACAGGAGCTCATGGACAAACTCTGAATGGTTTTTTACAAAGAGGTCACAAATGCTCAGTTTCCTCTTGATCAAAAAATCTCCTTGGGCTTCACCACCCTCCAGTCCACTTCTGTGGGCCTTATCCTTACTGGGCCACTATGGGGTTTCCTCCTCTGACTGCACAACCAGGATTATGGGGTGCCTCAGGAGCACTAACACAAGACTCCCCTCCAGCACCATTTTCTTCCTCCTTTGCAGGATACCCTGTTTGCAGACCTGCCCTGATCTCACTCCTGGAGGGAGGGGATTTGCCTTGGGGCCTGGAGCCACAGAATGATCCACCTGCAGAGTACCAGTGACGTCTCTAAAGGTAAATGAGGCAGGTTTAGAACCATCAACCATAGTCCTTTGTTAGGTGCATGGTTTGCAAGTTGTTGAACACTTGCTGTGTGCCAAAATGGCACTTTTTTTTTTTTTTTTTTGAGAAGCTCTGGAGCATACTAGTTATGGAGCCCAATGTAGAGAGCTAAAACAGAGAGAATGTGTTAAGTGCTGTTGGTATATATGCAGCAGGCTGTGGGACACAGCAGAAGAGGTCAGAGGAATTCCCAATTAGAAGGTCAGGTAACACTCCTTCAGTGGCAGGCCATGTGCTCTGTGTTCAGCATATAAGAATGCATTGCAGAAGGAGTGGGGAGGGAAGATAGTCTGGAGGAAGAGAATAATAAAAGATCCAATATAATTTCTGGCATAATATAATATCTGGAAAAGGACTAGTATTTGGAATATATAAACAACTCTCAAATTCAGCAATACAAACAAACAGTCCAGTTAGAAAATGTGTGAAGGGTACGAACAGACATTTCACTAAAGAGAACACACAAATGAAAAGGTGCTTGACATCATTAGCCATTAGGAAAATGCAATTTAAAACCATAGTGAGATATCACTACACCCTAATCATATATATCACCATGTAATTGTGAAGAGCTTCATGGTTTGATGTGCAGGAGAATTACCTCGGGAGTGTTATTTTTAAATCGATATTTCTGAGGTATACCTGTGAGCATTCATTCTTCTGTCTTTTTAAGTCCTCATTCAAGAATTTGTGGCTTAGGGGGTGCCCTGCGTTGAGCTCTATGTTGATTAACAGTCAACATAGAACCTGCTCGGGAGTCTCTCTCACTCTCTCTCTGCCCAACCCCCTCCCCACCCCTAATAAACGAACTTTAAAAAGAAAAAGAACATGAGGCTTAGGACTGAAAGCCTAAGTAGGACTTCCTTTTGTTGACTTCTATGCTATAACATGGTAGCCACTCACTATGTGTGTTTATTAAACTCTTAAGCACTTGAAGGGGGGCTAATTCAAGTTGAAATGTCCTAAAAGTATAAAATACCAGACTTTGAAGACTTAGTACAAAAAAAGTGTAAATGATCTCATTTGTAATTTTTATGTTGACTTTATGTTGAAACAATTTTGGATCTATTGGGTTAAATAAAATATATTATTAAAATTAATTTTATCATTTTCTTTTCACTTTTTTAATGTGGCTCCCAGAAAAACAAAATTAAGTATGCAGCTTGCATTTATGGCTCACATTATATCTCTTAAAAAAATTTTTTTTATTATCTTTGAGGAAGAGAACATGAGCTGGGGAGGGGCAAAGAGAGAGGAAGGAAGACAGAATTCGAAGTAGGCTTTGTGCTGCCCGTGCAAAGCTCCATGGGGTCTTGACATGGGGTTCAAACTCATGAACCATGAGATCATGACCTGAGCTGAAGTCAGGCATTCAACAGACTGAGACACCGAGGTGTCTCAAGTATTATTTCTTTTGAACAGCTCACTCCACTACAGAGCATATCCTTAAGCTGTCTTACTTAGCCAAACCATGTATAAACATCGTCATTGTGTCTGGAAAGCCTAGAACACAAGAGTTTATAGCAGATTTGAAGACTTCTGTCTTAGGTAACTTACTACATGGGAATAGGAAATGAGAGAGCTGGTACAACAGTGTGGAGCAGGAGTAGTGAACCCTGCCACAGTGATCTTGCCACTAGTGACATAAGCCCATAATTGCTATGTTTTAAAAATGTTATCTGGAAATTGTATGTAATTTGATTGGACTGTACGGGGAATTAAGCCATAAAACCTCATTACATCATTATTTACTGCAGTTAAGTTTGGAGGCCTACACAAGGGTAGGGATAGGGTGATGTAGGAGAGAGAAGATTGTGGAGAGTATCCCATTAGGACTGATAAAGCTTAGCAATAAACATATAAATGAGATAACATAAAGGAATCATGATATAAAAATGGCTTATATGGGGGTGCCTGGGTGGCTTAGTTGGTTAAGCGTCCGACTTTCGCTTAGGTCATGATCTCATGGTTCGTGGGTTCGAGCCCCGCGTCGGGCTCTGTGCTGACTGCCAGCTCAGAGCCTGGAGCCTGTTTCAATCTGTGACTCCCTCTCTCTCTGACCCTCTCCTGCTCACGCTGTCTCTCTCTCTCTCTCTCTCTCCTAGAAATAAATAAAAACATTAAAAAAAATGGCTTATATGGTGACAATGACACTAGACTTATCCTATGAAGTTTGAGGTTTTTTGGGACGCACAGGTTCCTGGGTATAGCAGCCTCTTGAGAATGCAGCTCTGTAGGGTAAGGTCAAGTCTGGGGTTATACAGGGTGTCAAAGTCTAGAAGCATAGGCAGACATACATAATAGTGTCAGAGACATCTTCAATCTATTAAAAATACATCTGTTTCCAGACTTTATGTTCACCCTGTATATGTGGGAATCCTCTATATCAGTGGCTCTTACCTGGGGCCAGCCACTTTTGCCCCCCAGGGGGTGTTTGGCAATGTCTGGAGCCTGTGTGTGTGTGTGTAGACTAGGGATGGGGGTGCTCCATTATTACGAATGTTGCTAAACATCCTATGCTACACAAGACAACCCTGCACACCTGCCGGGAGCCGCACTGGCCTCTCTGGATGGCAGTCACAGCAAGGAAATGACAATGTTTACACAGCTTCTGCCATGAGAAATGAAGACTAGTATCTCCTTCTGTTACTACTGGCTCATGTTGGAAATGAGCCTGCTGGTATTGACCAGGCCTCACAATATTCCATATCAAACCCATATTCTGAACACAGTTACCTCATAGGAAAAGCATATTCCTGCCTTTACAAAAGAGATTTTAGATAAGAGCTCTGTGGATCATTGTCAAAAGGTTCTTCCTATGGGCCTTGCAGATCCAAGACTTAGATAATAAAGGGGGTTAAGAACACAAGAGTTACTATTGAGCCTGGTCCCATATCAGAAGAGCCTAATTTATAGTTAAGGTACAGATAAGTACCAAACATAACTTACTAATTGGTGATGTATGGCAGTCCCTTCCTCAGGGCCTACATTCCAAAGACATCCTCCCTTAAACTGGCAGCTGGGATGAGGATAGATAAGAGTAATTAAAACATAAACCTAGATGCAAAGACTGATACATATAGAGCCCCCTTGGTAGTTTCCACTAACTAACCAATTCAGAATCATTCATCCTCTTGAGAGCCAGACAGAATGACTCTTAACTTATCTATATACAATGTAACCTATATGTTATCCTGTCTTTCACTGAGAGCATCCTGTTATTTCCTTGGTTGTAAATTCACCATGACTGGGATAATTCTGCAGTTGATATCACAAAAGACCTCTCATTGTAAGAAATTCCTATTCTCTGACCTCATATGGTTGTTGAACCTTTAAATAAAGACACCAAAACCGACAGGACAGAGATGCCTGCCTGGTGATCAGAAAGAATCTCGGGGCTCTCTCATTCCCTTTTGCCGACACCGTCCATCCTTCAGGGACCCCTGGACCTGTCGGAGCCGGCTCGGCCTCTGACACACACCCAAAAATTATCTGGCTATAAACATCAATAGTGCTGAGATTGAGACACCTTGCTCTATATAGTTGAAATGTCCCCTAAACAGAGAAGAAGGTGGGGAGAGAATCTTAAAGATTTTTTAGGGTTGAAGAGAGAGGGAGGAGTAAGTAGAGATAAAAGACTAGAAGCGTAATGAAGAGAGTGAAATTGGAGCTAAGGAGAAGGGGGATGCCTGGGTGGGTCAGTCAGTTAAGCATCTGACTCTTGATTTCAGCTCAAGTCATGATCTCTCATGCTTGGGATTCTAGCTCTCAAAATAAATAAATACACTTAAAAAAAAAAAAAAGGAAACTAAGGGTAGGAAGATTTCCTGGAAAGCTGGTGGGCAGTGGAGCATAAGCCCATGAAGAGGTAACACCTTATTTTGTGAGGTTTAGAAATGAAAGGAAAGTGCCGGAAGCCACACCAGCTTCTCTGGATGGCAGTCACAGCAAGGAAATGGCAATGTTTGCACAGCTCCTGCCATGAGAAACAAAACTGGTATCTCCTGCTACTACTGGCTCATGTTGGAAATAAGCCTGCTGGTATTGACCGGGCCTCACAATATTCCATATAAGACCCATATTCTGAACACAGTTACCTCATAAGGAAAAGCCTATTCCTGCCTTTACAAAAGAGATTTTAGATAAAAGCCCTGTGGATCATTGTCAAGGGGCTCTTCCTGTGGGCCTTGCAGATCCAAGACTTAGCTATGACCGGGATATTCATCCTCTTGAGAGCCAGACACAATGATTCCTAGCTTACCTATATACAACTTAACCTATATGTTATCCTGTTTTCCACTAAGAGCATCCGGTTATTTCCTTGGTCGTAAATTCACTGTGACTGGGATAATTCTGCAATTGTTATCGCAAAAGACCTTCCATTGTAAAGAAATTCCTTTCTTTGACCTCATATTGTTGTTGAACCTTTAAATAAAGACACCAAACCCGACAGGACAGAGATGCCTGCCTGGTGACCAGAAAGAATCCCGGGGCTTTCTCACTCTCTCTCTCGATGACACCATCCATCCTTCGGGGACCCCTAGACCTGCCGGAGCAGGCCTCCGGCAGAAAAGAATGTAAGTAGTAGATTTAAGACAGTGTTTTGCAAACATTTTTTATGGTAACCTACAGTAAGAAATACAATTGAAGTCACAACCCAATACATATGCTTCTGTAAATAACTGAAACCAAAGTTTCAGATTCAGAACATACCTCTCCTGTTTGCTCTGATGTCTAATTGTTTCCTAATTCTCTATTTAAATCTAGTCTGATCTCCTTCACTTTAAAAAGTGAAGATTTCTGCTCGCAATCTGCTACATCTATTTCATGACCTACTAATAGTTCTCAGTTAAAAAGAAAAATAAAGCTAGTCTGGGAAAGATAACTACCCTCCAGTGGACCTGAATAGCTAAAGTAAGAAAAAGTGAAAGGGGAGAGGGGAGAGGAAGTTACCTGCTGAGCTCCGCTAGGGAGTGGGAAGAGTGGCGCCCAAGAGGAGAGGCAGAGCCCTAAAGGGAAGGTGGGAGATGGGTGCCACCGTGTGGGAGTGGAGAGCCAGGAGGTTGAGGAGCACCTTTGAGGCAGTCGTGGTTTTCCCAGCGAGGAAGAGGTGATAGAGACTGGAGAGTTAGGTAAGGGAGCAGATGGGGGTTTAGGGAAAGTGGCGATTGCCTGGAAGAACCGCTGTGGAGAACCTGATCAATCGAATGTTATTAGGGTTTTAGGGTGTCAGGGAAGGAGAAGGGTTTCCTCGTCATCTGTTATTCTAATCTGGATCATATGACACTTGCTTTTTGCCAAATAGCAAGGTAAAAGATATATGAGAATTGATTTACAAGCTCTATATCATTCTGGTCACTGTGTTTCAGATTATTTCATCTGTCTCCTTGCTCCTGTTTCCCAGCAGTTCCCTTCTGAAGAAGCCCACTCCTAATTCACACACATGGAGAACTTGGTAGATCACCCCCACTTCCTATTAAAATAGAACTCCTTGGGGCGCCTGGGTGGCTTAGTCGGTTAAGCGTCCGACTTTCGCTTAGGTCATGATCTCGCGGTTCGTGGGTTCGAGCCCCGCGTCGGGCTCTGTGCTGACTGCCAGCTCAGAGCCTGGAGCCTGTTTCAGTCTGTGACTCCCTCTCTCTCTGACCCTCCCCTGCTCGCGCGCTCTCTCTCTCTCTCTCCTAGAAATAAATAAAAAACATTAAAAAAAAAAAATAGAACTCCTTAGGGGCACCTGGGTGGCTTAGTCAGTTAAGCATCCTACTCTTGGTTTTGGCTTACGTTATGATCTCATGGTTTGTGAGTTTGAGGCCCGCCTTGGGCTCTGTGCTGACAGCTTGGAGCCTGCTTGGGATTCTCTTCCTCACTGTATGCCCTTCCCTGCTCACTCTCCCTCTCAAAATAAAAATAAACTTAAGCATTTTTTAATGGGAAATATTAACTAGAACAAATAGATCGGCCATTATAACAGGGATCCAATTATTTTTGACCCATAATAATTTTATTATTGCAGTATATAAGTTGTATGCCTGTGTATACAGAGTAACAATTATTCAGTCATTTATTTTATCATACTTAGTATGTACTATGTGCCAAGAACTGCTCAAGACAGTCAGGATACAGCAGGAAAGAAAACAAAGCCCCTGCTCTCCTAAAGCTAATGTTCTAGTGGTTTAAGGTCAAGGGCAGCTAATTTGTAAAAAAAAAGGAAAGATAAACAGGCATTCTGCCCATAATTTTATTGTGCAAAAGGCATAAAAATGATAATATCTTCTTTTAACATACAAATGTTTAATTAACAAGAGTACAGATTGATAAAGATCAACACTTGAATATGAAATTTAACTCAAAGTTTAAAAACAAGGATTGAATTTTAACAAACTTAATTAAAATGTCATCATCCAATCTTTGGAAATCAAATGTCACTGGACAGGCTGTTATTGTTTTTTGTTTCTCACCTGAGATTTTCCTGTTCCTCAGTATGAAAAGGCGGCATTGTGCAGTCTCCTGGGCCTCAAAGCAAATTGCTCTCCCCTTTCCAAGTAGTTGAGCAGACACATTTTGAGTCCAGCAACAGCACATACGCAGCCGTTTCTAACAGATGCTGCATACTCAACTCTTGTAGGCTATCCGGTGTTGTCTCTTGTTCGTCTTCCTACGTGAGCATTTTCAAGCATTTAAGAACTATGAAGTCACAAGCTAATAGGGACATGGAGGTCTGGAGACGCTTAGGAAGTAGTCTTCAGTGTTGGAAAGTGTAGTGACCTGGGTTCAAAATCTCATTTCCTGTTCCACAGCTTCTATTTTCTGCCTCTGTCATATTTACCTCTTCCAGTTTAATAGGTTTATATTTCTGGCAGGTTACACAGAGGTTAGAATAGTAATCTCTAAAGGCCCTATAGTTTCAGTGCTCTGTTATTTCTAGTATAATTCTCAGGAGGCATGTGTCTTGCATTTCTCATGTCAGATGCTAAGACCAACTTTGACAGTGAGTCCACATCAACACAGGAAGAAGGAAATGTGATGATAACATGTGGGCTGCTACAGAGTATTTCTTGGGAGAGTGACTTTCCAGAAACATGTGAAGTGGAGAAACACCAGGAAATTCCCACAATGGAAAACATTAAAAGAAAGGATGAGAGAATCTTCTGTGTAGAAAAACCCTTCAGATGTGAGGAGTGTGGGAGATGCTTCAGCTTTTTTTTCTTACTATGTTAAACACCAGAGAATCCACACTGAGGAGAAACCCTACCCCTGTGAGGAGAGTGGGACCTCCTTTAACGGCAGTTCTTCATTAATTCGGCACCAGAGAATCCACACTGGAGAGAAACGCTATCGGTGTGAGGAATGCGGGCAAGCCTTCAATAATAGTGCTAATCTAATTAGGCACCAGAGAATCCACAGTGGGGACAGACCTTATCTCTGCAAGGAGTGTGGAAATGGCTTCTCCAGTAGTTCTGAGTTGGTTATACACCAGAGAATCCACACTGGGGAGAAACCTTATGAGTGTAATGAATGTGGAAAAGCTTTCGCTGTTAAGTCAACATTAAGTTGACTAATCTAATTAGGCACCAGAGAATCCACAGTGGAGAGAAGCCATATGAGTGTCTCACGTGTGGGAAAACCTTTAGGAGTCCCTTCCAGCTACATCATCCTGAGTATGCCCACCCTAGGCAGAAACCTGTCCTGGACCTTGGTTCCTTTGGCCTTCCTGCATTTTTTACCCCCTTTCCGTGGTAATTACTGGCCTCCTTTTTTGGAAAGCCACTCTTCTCTGACTCAACTATTGATGTGGTATAGATGGGGCTCTGTTCCCCACTGCAAGGTAGAACTTGTGGCCTAGTCTAGCCCATTTACACTGTTCCTTCCCCCCTGCCACAATGATAGGTTCAGGTGACCAGGTTCACCCAATCAGGTGCCAAACCTACCAGGAAGTAACATTTTTTTCCCCCTGGACTCGTTAGCCTTGATCCGTCATGAAGGCTGAGAAGAAAGCCAGCCCTGCAGATAAGAGAGAAATGGAGAGAACCAAATCTACCTCTGGGTTTTGCAGTGACCTGAATCAATAAATTTCAGTTTTTTGCCTAAGTAGTTTGGAGTTTTCTTTCTTAGTGATACTGAGCATTTCAATGTCTCATATGTTTCAAAACCTTCACGTTTCAAAACCTCACATGTTTCAAAACCCCATTTCAGAGTTAACATAAACTTGATTTGGCATCGGGGCGCCTGGGTGGCTTAGTCGGTTAAGCGTCCGACTTTCGCTTAGGTCATGATCTCGCGGTTCGTGGGTTCGAGCCCCGCGTCGGGCTCTGTGCTGACTGCCAGCTCAGAGCCTGGAGCCTGTTTCAGTCTGTGACTCCCTGTCTCTCTGACCCTCCCCTGCTCACGCTGTCTCTCTCTCTCTCTCTCTCTCTCCTAGAAAAAAAAAAAAAAATTAAAAAAAAAAAACTTGATTTGGCATCACTGAGTCCGTGCTATGAAACAACCTTTCATATGTGTGACATGTTGGAAACACTGTAGCTGTGATTTTGATTGTTTGTTTGCCTTGTGTGGCAAGCACTCAAGTACTATGAATGTGGGAATACCATTTATCCTTAGTAAAGTGAGGTTAGCATTCATGTATCCCAAATGGTTGGAAGTTACAGCAGTTTAAGCTGTAATGAAAATTTCAAGCTAGTATAAAATTGAAGCTCTGTCAATATTCTGTAGGGAAGATGCATGTATTAAATAGAAAGCTTTGTTTATTTCATACTCAGTTTCTAACAGAAGTGGATGCTGAATATTTAATCTTATTTTAGATCTTTCAAGATGTTTCTTTTTTGACCTCTCTGTAGTTAATTATACTAATGTTTTCCTAATATTTAGTTATATTCTCATAATCTTAGTTGAATATGAGATTACAGAATTTTGTATGTGTGTCTTGCTGGATAGTATTTGTTAATATATTTAGGATATTGTCATCTAGGGGCACCTGGGTGGCTCAGTCAGTTAAGCATCCGACTTCGGCTCAGGTCATGATCTCACAGTTCATAGGTTCAAGCCCTGCATTGGGCTGTGTGCTGATAGCTCAGAGCCTGGAGCTTCTGATTCTGTGTCTCCCTCTCTCTGCCCTTCCCCCGCTCACAGTCTATCTCTGTCTCCCCAAAAAATGAATAGAAACGTTAAAAAAAAATAAAAGAATATTGCCATCTATAATTATAAGTGTGTTTACCCTGTGATTTTTTTTCCATCTTTCTCCAGATTTGGGAGTTGATTTATACAGGACTACTAGAAATAGCTATAAGGCTGTTCTTTTTCTGTGTTCTGGAACAGTTTGAGAAGCCTAGCAGCTCTCTGTTTCTTTGAAATCTGAAAGAAAAAAAAAAGTCCACTTAATAAAGCTGGCTAGACCAGTTGCTTTTGTTGGGGGTAGTGTAGAGGAGAAGAGATCGTTACTACTTTTTCAATTCTTTCTGTGGCATTGATCCAGTTACATTGTCTATTTCTTCTTGAATCAATATTGGCAATTTATAATTTTTTAACATTTATTTACTTTGAGAGAGAGACAAAGTGGGGGAGTGGTAGAGAGAGAAGGAGAGAAAGAGAATCCCAAGCAGGCCCCATGGTATCAGTGTGGAGCCTGATGCAGGGCTCAACTTAAGAACCGTGAGATAATGACCTGAGCTGAAACCAAGAGTCAGACGCTTAACTGACTGAGCCCAGGCACCCCTGTAATTTATAATTTCTTACTGACTTTTACAAATTCTTTGCCCTGCTTTTTACCCAGATTGTATATCCTACTTAAAATATTTTCAGCATATGCTCCTTGGCATTCCTAAATTTGTTCGCCGTCAAAATCTATATGAAGAGTTTTATGACTCGTATATTTGCACACAAAAGTTTGACATTTGTCCTTATAATGCCTAGAATAGCATGTCTGCCGTCACCTTATAACTAAAGAAATGGCCTGGGTTATTCATCTAAAGAGGGTTTCTCAAACTTGACACTATAAGCATTTGGGACCTGATAGTTTTTTTTTAAATTTTTTTTATTTTTATTTTTTTGGCCTGTCCTGTGCAGGGTAGGATGTTTAATTTACCCACTGATCTCTACCCACTAGATACTATTTGTAACACTCTGGCACTCTCGCCTGCCCCTTGTCTCCACCCATCTAGAAAGATCCTAACGGTATGTTTTTGTGGAAATAAGGAGCCAGCTCTTTGGATGCGTGTCAGTCTGTGCCTTGTTCACTCCCGTGTCTCTTTGTACTGTCATCTACTTGTCATGACGGTTCTCAATTCTAGACTTAACCTGCTGTCTGAAATCTTGTCCTGAGAAGACGGCTTTACCAGCTCCTCATTTGACAGCAGTCCATCCAAGTGGGGAAGACGCTGGGAGATCATCTTTTAGTAATAATGGACTTGTAATTCTGCAGACACACCAAAAACAATTTAGGCAAAGAAATGGTCGCAGTTAACTTGAGTCAAGGTTTGTTTGTTCTAGTCATTGCAGAATATTAGCCTTTTATTTGTTATAGCTGTTCTTTAATAAACTCTAATAACCAGTAATATTTTGTGTGCTTTCCTATGCTAGGTACTCCACATTAACTCAGTCCTCCCAGCAGCCTTTGAAGTAGATACTGTTACTTTGTTTCAGTTAGGAAGTTGAAGAACAGCAAGGATAAGTAGCTTGCCCAAAGATAACAGCTAGTAAGTGGAAGAACAGAGATTCAAACCCAAGCGGTCTGACTTTAGAACGCATGCCCTAACCATTACACAGTATTGCCCTCCTTTCTCCGCTGCTTTTTTTCTTTTTTAGCTTTATTGTATGATTGACATACAGTTGAATCATTTTTTTTCCTGCAAATGGTCTTCTGGGATTTTGATTGGATTGCTTTGATTATGCAGATCAATTGGGGAGAATTGAAAATAATATTGAGTTTTTCAGTCAATGAACACTGTGTCTCTCTGTTTAGTAGGTGTTCTTTCATTTGTGATTATTTTGTAGTTTTCGGCATGCTATCTTAGACATGTTTCATTAGGTTTATACCTAAATATTTCATGATTTTTTGTGGTGTTATAAATGGTACTATTTTTGAAAATTTATTAAAAGTATATTGTAGGAAATTTTATTATCAGAAATTTCAGTTTCCAACAATTGCTTTTTTTTTTTCTTTTTTGTACCTTGACTTTGATTCTGTGACCTTGCTAAACTCACTTGTTTGTTCTAGGAGATTGTGTAGATTCTTTAGGATTTTCTATGTAGGCAGTTTTGTCCTCTTGTAAATAGTAGCAATTTTATTTCTTCCTTTCCATTTGTATTCCCTTTATTTCCTTTTCTGGCATTCTTGCACTTGTTAGGACTCCCAGTATGGTGTTGAATAGTAGTGGTAAGAGCAAACATACCTGCTCTGTGCCCAATCTTGGAAGGAAAGCATTCTTTCCATCACTATTCAATATGTTTTCAGCTGCAAGAAAATAATCCACATCAAATCCTCTGTCATTTTAGCCACTGCAGCAAAACATTAAGTTTAGCTGTATGTTTTTGGGTAGCCAAGGCAAAAATGACTGTGCATGAAACTGAAGTCCCACCAGAACTTCAGTCCTAGGCTTTTCAGAGAGCTGGGAAGGAAGTTGATATTTTCCCCACCACTTTAAAGTCAAGAATAACAGCAAATGTGCCATGATCATACACTATAACCTGGATCCCCTGATCTTACAGTGCTGTTAGTCAGATTTAAAGAGACAGAAGAAATGAGTTAGAGGAAGAGCTGGGTATTCAGGCCATGAGGTGACCAGGGGAGAAGGTGACTCCCAGTGGAATCTGAGGAGTGGCTGAGGCTTTAAGATAATTATGCTTGATGGTAGATACCACTATAGACATGGGTATGAGTATATATACATTTTCTTGTAGGTGGTACAATAGACCTGCACCAATTATTTATTAACCCTGAAGACTTACAGGAGACTATCTAGACAACTGGGAGTGGAAATTACTCACTGACCATTTAAGCAAAAAGAGGATTTCAGGATGACTAGCTTTTCCCCATTCAAAAGGTCATAAGGACTTTGGATTAGAGTCTTGGTCAGGGAAACCCATATTGCAAAGTTCTACTGAATTTCTCTCTAAATATCAAGAGAACAGAGTAGTATGCACTCAGACTCGTAAAATGTGACTCTGCGGGAAATAAGCAACACTGTTTAACTGCTGATTCTCCCCCAGGAGTCACCTGTGACAGTGCTCATTCACCTGCCATTCACCTGCTAGACTGGTCTTGATATAATTACTAAGTGATTTGAAAAGAAAAAAAAAAAAAGACTTGCATAAAAATCAATAAAATATCATGGGAGAAATAGGCACCTAAGTTCAAGCCTTGTTAGAAGGCATCTGCTACTGCTCGTTATGGCCAGGTTGAAAGGTGGCACAATATTTGGTTTGTCCAAAGCACTTCAGAATACAACTGAAATCACACTGCTTCTCTGTGGTGGCCATTTACCAGAGATCATTGAAATACTCAGTGGGATATTTTTGTGTTGTTGTTGTTGTTGAGAGTTTGCACTTTAAAAGTATAGCATCCCTTTCCCCCAAGCAAAAAAATCCAACTCTTCCCAAGTCTTGCCACTGAACAAACATGTAGGTCTCAACAAATTACCGTGAACAATGACTTAAAACAACACACATTTATTCTATTTATTCATTAATTTATCTTATAGTTCTAGAAGTCAGAAGTCCAAAATGGGTTTCCGCAGGGCTAAATTCAAATTGTTGGTTAAGGAGAGATTTTCTTTTCTTCATTTTAAGGTTTATTTATTTTTAGAGAGAAAAAGGGAAAGGGGAAGAGAGAGAACTCTAAGCAGGTTCTGCACTGTCGATGTGGAGCCCAACACAGAGCCTGACATGGGGGTCTAATTCACAAACTGTGAGATCATGACCTGATCTGAAACCAAGAGCTGGATGCTTAACTGACTGAGCCACCCAAGCACCTCAGGAGAGACCTTATTTTCTTTCTTTTTGCAGTCTCTGGAGATCATCCGCTTTTCTTGATTCATAGGTCTTTTCCTCCAGCTTCAAAACCAGCAGTGATGGGACAAGTTTCTCTCATTTGCTGTCCTCTCTGTGGTTCTCTCTGCCAATGACCTTTTCCACTTTCAAGGACTCGTATGATCACATTGGGTGCATCTGGATAATCCAGGATAATCTTATTTTATTTATTTATTAATGCTTATTCATTTTGAGAGGCAGTGAGAATGAGTACATCTGGGATGAGGAGGAGCAGAGAAAGAGGGAGAGAGAGAATCCTAAAGAGTCTCTGTGCTGTCAGCACAGAGTCTGATGTGGGGCTCGAACTCATGAACCATAAGATCACATGACCTGAGGCAAAATCAAGGGTTGGCCACTTAACCCACTGAGCACCCAGGTGTCCTGGGATACTCTTATTTTAAAATTAGCCAATAAGTAACATTAATTACATCTGCAACCTTAATGCTTCTTTGTCTTGTAACCTAACATACCAGGCCACCCAGGTGCCCCTGGGGGGAACATTATTCTTCCTATCACAGGGAAAATGGAAAGTGAGTGCTAGTGCTGATGGTTATGGAGTTTCTTTTTGGGAATGATGAAAATGTTCTAAAATTGATTGTGGTGATGGTTGCACAATCCTATGAATATACCAAAAACTATTAAGTTGTGTGCTTTGTGCTTTAAATAGACGAATTAGTATGGGATGTGAATTATATTTTAATAAGGCCAAGTGTGTATGTGTATTCAGTATTTCTAAAATCAAATTCTGTAATCTTCCTGCCTGGAACCAGCTCCTCTTCTCGAATTAACTAAATCTCAGTTAATGACACCTTCATCTATCAGGTCCCGCACACTTCATGGCTATTATCGATTGCTCTCTCTCCCTCATTTTATTCAATCTTTTTAAAAATCTCCGCTGGGGGCGCCTGGGTGGTTTCAGGCGTTTAGTGGGCAATTTAGGCTCAGGTCACTATCTTGCGGTTGGTGAGTTCGAGCTCCTGGAGGCTGCTTGGGATTCTGTCCCTTCCTCTATCTCTCTCTCTCTGCCCTCCTCTGCTTGAAACAGGGTGAATATCTGAAAAACCACCAAACGCGGAATAGAAGCGAGGCAAGATTTTATTCATGGCAGGGCCAAACCTGATCTGATCTCAAAGAGAAAAATGCAGAGAATGGCCCCGCACAAAGGTAGTAGTGAGCTTAGATGGATTTCAGCAAGGCAGAATATGTCATTATTTAGTTAACCAATTACAACTTACAGCATTTCATGGTAGCCAATTATATTGTGACACATAGACGTTAGTTTTGGCGGAAACCTATCATTTTAAAGTTCTTTGTCTTAAGAGCGTTTGAAATGACCAATCATAGTTAGACACCTAAGATACCGTGGGGCAGTGACTATCTGACTTTTTACATGTTGGCCTTACCTTCACCAGATCTTAGTAGAAGGGGTGGGGGAGCGTTTTGCAACCTAAGTTATGTATTTAGCAAGCAGGCGAAGTTACAGAAGCGAGATGGGGCGGTTAGTAATTTCCGTTAACTCTAATAGGGAACTACATAAGCTTTTATCTCTATTTATGAAAGGTGAGTTTAAGCCGCACTTATATACAGTAAGCTTTCTGATATCTTATAAGTTGACCTATTACACTGCTCACTCTCTCTCGAAAATAAATAAATGTTAAAAAAAAAACCCACTGTTTTCATTTCCTAAATAGTTTTACTATAATAACCCTTCTTCACAGTCCTGGGCTTTCTTAACATGACTGGATCTTTACCCCAAGGGGGGACAGGTTTTGTTTTGGCCTTACTACCTATTTGGCAGTGAGATGACATTTGTGGATCATTCTGAAACTGGTTATATTGAAATACAGTTAAATGGTTTAAAAATAAACCTGTGATACATCAATATATGTGTGTGTTTACCACTGTGATGAAATCAAATGACAAGATCTAAGTGAGCCTTAATAACAACGATGATAATTCCAAATTAGGGAAGAGAATAGCTTGTATTTTGAGATATCTGCATCAACTGTGATGTGATATGAAAATATCTGTGATTTCTACTGGTGACAAAGGCACAGGTACTGCCGATGGTACTGGGGTGTGTTGCCAACACATAATTGAAGGACATGCTAAATTTCGGTTCGAGATCAGGAAAAACAGCAGTCAGCTGCCTCTCGGAGGACCACAGTCCCAGCCGCGCCCGCCCCTCCTGGCGTGTAAGCCAGAGAACCACTGAGCGGCGGGCTGTGGTTTCCTAGAGAGGAAGCACGTGAGGCGTGGGCGCCGCGGCCCTCGGAGTGACGCGCTTCCGGTCACGCCGCACAGGGCCTCTTTTTTGAGGTGAGTGGGGGTGGGAGGGGTTCGGTCGCCGGGTCGTCTCTACTAGCGGCGCGCCCCTCACCACTGGAGGAACCTGCCGCCTTGGTCCCTGAAGCCGTGGAGGAGAGCGGCGGAGGGAGCTCGAGTGCTGTCGCTCGCCCTGGCGGATGTGGATGGAGAAGACTCCCCGTGCGCCCGACGCAGCTGCAGAGCTCTGCTCTTTGGGCCAGCCACTACCAACTTGGCGGCTACACGCCAGCTGCTGCTCGGGGTCCCCGGGGTGCAGCTGTAAAGGCGACCAGCGTGGGCTCCGCCTTCAGGGAGCTTTCAGTTTAGTGGGAAAGTCACGTAGTCATAAAATCTCACCATTTCACTCTTACCTGTTTGTAACCCAGTAGCTGCGGCCTGTTGCTTTTCAGTCCAAGACTAACTCCTCAACGTGTGCATGGCGTTCTCTTATTGCAACTTCTACCCCCTCGTTTTACAGCACACTCTCCTTGGCTCTGCTACGGCCTTCCTGGCTTTTCATCTCCAGAACATGCCTTTTTAACCAAATTCATTGCTATCCCTAAATGTTCCCGTCTACAGTAGTTTCCCCCAGGCAGTAATCGCAATTGTAATCTTAATTATTAGAATCTTTGATTAATATTTGCCTTTCCTTTAGACTGAGCTCCGTGACAAAAAGGGTTACACCTTATTTTCCTCTCCGCAGTATCTCACACTTGGCCTGTAATGAATGAAGTATACCATAAATGATGGGTGAAGAAAGCACAAAGCAATGCAGGTGTATAATCTCAAACTGGAAGATGTAGTATACAGGGAGGTGAACAAAGTATGAGTGGAGTGCTTAACATGGGGAGCTGACCTGGTTTGTAGATGATCTGAAGGATGACCTGGCATTACCTGGGTGAAAGAGGGTCAGGCTGCTGGAGAGTATCCGTTAACAAGATCCTAAGGTTGGAGCAGAGTAGTCCATACAGAGACAACAGCAGGTATAAAGATCCTGAGTTAGCATCATAGAGGGAACGGAAAGAAGGCCAGGAGGGTAAACCAAGGAGAAGGGTGGCATAATAGGCTAGCGCAAAGTAACAGCATGCAATGAAGTTAGGGAAGGTGCTGGCTTTGGGGCAGAATATGACTGCTTAGCAAGAATACGACTGCGTAGCAAGAATACACTGTCTGTAGGGGATGATATAATTAATAACCCAGACATTTTGGCATGTAGAGGTGGCCTTTCAGGGTCCTTTGCTAATCATTTTTGGTCATCACTGGGTGCTAGAATGGAGTGATGAACACAAAGATGCCTGCCCCGAGGTCCAAGGAAAAGAAAACTTCCACTTTGATTCTTTTTCTGAATTTTCTTGGCGACACTATCCTTCCTTATTAACTTTAGAATCACTTTATCAGGTTTTAAAAGAAATCCTGTTGGGATTATGATTGGAAGTGATATAATGTAGTTACTGAAAACATGGCCATTGGAATTCTGACATCTGGTTTGGAATTCAAATTCATTCATCCACCACCTTGTGACCTTGGTAGAGAAAATTATTCTCTTAGCCTTGTTTTCTCATTTGGGAAAAAGAAAATTCAGAGGATTATAGTGGAGACTGGATGAAGAGATAGGTATTTTATATCCCATCACTTATTTCTATTTTTTTTAAACTTTTTTTGTGTTCTTCAGTAGATGTTTATTTTTAAAAATAAAGGTCTTGGTTTCCTTTTCCTGTTGTTAGGTTTTACTTTAGTTTTTTGTTTGTTTGGGATTTTTTGTTTTTTGTTTGTGTGTACTTCTATTCCCAGTGTACTAATATCTTACCCAGGACAGGCAGCATTGCTTGATGGTATGGGCTCTGGTGCCGGAGGGCAAGTTACTTTTTCAAAATCTGTTTCCTCAGCATTCAAACTTCATTATATAGTATGGATTGAAAGAAGAAATATATGTCACTTACCCAGTGGGCATTCAGGAAATGATAGCTGCTATTGTTACTGGCAGCAGGTTTGTTGGTTAAAAGGAGAGCCTTTGACTGGGCCAGGCTCACTCATGGTTCTCTTTGCTTCTTTCCTCAGCCTCTGCCCTTCACTGAGAGGGACCCCAGGTGATGGCTGCCATGCTCCTGAACGCCTGGCACCAGGTGAGCTGTGACTCCCTCAGTTCAGCCTTTGAGAGATCTAATTTGAAGGAATGGGTTATGAGAGGGATAATTCTGGCAAGACTGTTAGCCCCAAATCAGCAGGAAGGCACCTCTTGATTCTCTCTAGTAGGACTGAATGTTGGGGAGAAAGTTGATGGTGAGGGGCTGAGCAGCCAGAAACCCTACAAGCATTGGCTGGAGAAAGTTCCAGGGAATCAGAAGTACAGCCTCCTGTACTACAAGGATCTCTGCTAAACTGGAGGGCCCCAGGTTCATTAGGGGCCCCCAAGGAGGGATCTGTGAGAATGAGGGACTTGGGCTAGTGGTAGTAATATCCACTGTTGGTGGGAGTGATTAAGATCAGTAAAGTTGCAAGACTCTTGGGAGGTGGGAGAAGAGGGCCGGTAGGAGGAAGATAAGAAAATGGGTCTATATCATTTGTCCTTCTAAAGAAAGAAGTTTGGGCTTCATAATCAGGGAAAATATAGCCTCCTTAAGGTCAGTGCCGCTGACTTAAGATGAGGCAGCAGACTATGATATGGAAAATCTGCACTAGGTAAAATCTGCTTTAGGGAAGATCACCTGAATTTAGGGATCCCATCAGGCCTCAGTGGTTTTGAGTCAATCTCTTAAACTCTTTGTGTCTTAATGGACTTCATCTGTACAGTGAACATTAAGTACCTTAAATTTGTGGGAACAGGAAATTGATTTCTTGAGTTGTAGTTCACTTTTGGACTGGTGCTTGCTATGTGTTGCTTTACAATTTCCTCATCCTGGGTCTTATCCAATGACTTAACATCCATGAACAATATCCCACGTCCCAATCTTGGACTTCTGACATCTGGCAGGTCTCTTTCCTGACTTTAATTGATACAGTATCTTCCCTATAGCATCCACCCTCTTCCGATCTTCTGTAAGTACTGGTAGTACCATATCACAGTCCTGACCACTCAGTTTCCAGATTGCTGAGCAGTTGTTGACCTTTTTCTCCCTTGATACCACTTCTAGAGAGGCACCAAGTCCAGCTCCTCCTGCCTGCTGTTTCTTCCACTTGTCCCTTATTTTGTATTTCCATCATTCAGGATTTGTCATTCCTTCTCTGGGATTTTGTTGGCAGAACATTCTAGTTAGTTTCTCTGTGAATAGTCTTGTGCCTCCCTCTCACTGTGTGCTTGTCACCTGATGCAGTTCAGTTTCCTGAACTTGGATTTTATCCTCTAGTCCAGGGTTCTGAAATTTTAAAGTGCTCCAGAATCACCTGGAGGCCTAATTGAAGCAGAAATTGCTCTCAAGTGGGCCCTGTCGGTTTGCTTTCCAAAAAGTTCTCAGTTGATGCTGCTGCTGCTCTGGGGACCATGCTTTGAGAACCACTGTTAAAGTTAGTGGTGACTCACTAAGTCATTGAGTTGACTGGGTCAGATTATCATTTAAAAATAATTTTTTAAAGTTTATTTGTTTTTGAGAGAGAGAGAGAGCACAAGCTGGGGAGGAAAGAGAGCAAAATCCCAGTCTCTGCACTGTCTGAGCAGAGCCTGATGTGGGGCTCAAACTCACGAACTGTGAGATCATGACCTTAGCCAAAGTCAAATGCTTAACCAGCTGAGCCACCCAGCTGCCCCACAGGTTATCATTTTAAATTGATGATTGTATGTGCTGGCAGAGGATGGATTCAGTGCAGGACAGCCTGGAATTGGAGCTGTTTAAGTGTCCTCAGCCATTGAAGTAGTGTACTGATTGTGTGATGGTGAAGAAGAGTCAGATTGTAGAAATACTTATGCAGTGAAACTGGTAGGATCTGATTACCAACTGCATGCTAGAAATGAGCAGTGGTTGGGGCAAGTAAGTCTAGGGTGACATCTCAAGTTTCTAGTGTAGGAGTCTGGGCTGAAATTGGTACTATTAACTGAGGTAGGGGAACAAAATTGTTGCTCACTGTGCCAGTTAGTTTATATGATTTAGAAAAGGAGTCAGTTTTGATTGGAAGATAAATTTGGTGTAGTTGGTGGGTCAGACATGTTAGGTCACCAGGGAGTCTGAGGCAGTGCTGGAAGTAGTGGAAGGTGGGGATCTGTAGAATCCGTTGAGGCACAAGAAGGTGGGAGGATATTCTTTGCATGTTTAGGTAACCAGTTTGATACCAAAGTTTATGGAGTATAGAGAGAATCTAAACCAGATGCTAGAACTTTCTAGGAAGGTAGAGCCTCAGGGCCATCAGAGAAGAGACTGGGGCTGTTGAAAAATCACGAGGCTTGTTTGGTAGAAGCTATTATAGATTGTCTTGGAGGTATAAAGAAAAGCAGCTAAAAGGCTGTCCAGCAGCAATTTGATTCTAGAAGCGTATTCTCCCAGGAAGTCTGTCAGAATAAACTTCTCCAGGCAGCATTTAAGCTTTCTCTGCTGGACGTTCTTGAGCACAGGCAGGATAGTTCAAGCACAGATGGGACTTAGATGAGACTGGCTCATCAGAGCAAACCATGAAACTGTTTTTGTTAATATAGGCTTGGGGTATGGGGCAGAATGAGCATATCTGGGAACAGATGGATTAGCTGGGAACTGAGGCAGTGAAGGAGGAAACAGGTGTTGACATGCCACCTGTGAATGGGTATCTAGATTGATTGAAGCTAATACCCATTTGTAGGTGTGACAGTAAGAGATTAAAAGTAGTTACCAACCAAAGAAACTGCTTTAGGAAGTTCAATTGATGGGAGGCTTTCTAAGGTTTTTGAAATGTTACCATGTTTTATAATAATACATTTTGTGTCCTAATGGAAGCTCTTCTGTTAGAGAAGTTTCAGATTTTTGGTTGTAGAAAGTCATTTAATGGTCTAACATCCAGTTCTTTGACTTTTTCTCATTAGCCATCCCTAATAGCACCCATCCCTCATCCTGTACCCTGTGACATGCACTCTGGCCCTGAGTCAGAGAATTGGCTCTGGGGCAGCAAGAACTTCTTGTTTTAGGAGCTGGTGACATTTGAGGACGTGGCTATCTACTTCACCCAGACAGAATGGGCTGGTCTTTCTCCTGGACAGAAGGCCCTGTACAGAAGTGTAATGCTGGAGAATTATGGGAACTTGACATCCCTGGGTAAGGCTGCTTTCCTCCTGGGACTCAGATCTATGGTTTCCTGTTTCCTTCCTTGTTTTCTTCTAATAGGCTGGATGTGCAGTATGGGGAGGGAGTGGTTATCTCTGGTATCCTCCACTATGTGCCTCTAGGGCTGAGACTGAATGACCCACTTCAAAGGTTGGCAGGTAGGGAGAGATCTTGAGTTAGTTTGGTCCCAATGTATGGAATTACTGTCCCCTGGTACGGGTACATCCCATCCTCCAAGCGGCTCTGTGCACTAAGGAATACAGAGTTTCCATTGCCAGAGTTAAATTCTTAGCTTGTCTAGGGAAGGGTGTGACCCCTTCCCTGTGTTTGCATATGTCTTGTAGGATGTCACTACATTACCTACTCTTTAGTAGAAGGGGTCACAAATGCTGTTTCTTCTTGATCAGAATCTTGGTTTTCCCCAATCCTGAACCCTCTTCTATGGATCTTACTCTTATGGAGACTCTTAGGGTTTTCCTTCTGTTGACACAGCAGACACATGGCTGAAAGGTACTACTTTCTCTTCTTTTCAGGATACCCTGTTTCCAGACCTGCCATGATCTCGCTTCTGGAGGCAGGGAATTTGCCTTGGGGCCTAGAGGCGCAGGATAACCTGTCTACAGAAAGGACCAAAGACATCTGTAAAGGTAAGTGAGACAGGTTTAGAACAGGCATCTATAGAGCTTGAGAGAGCAGTGTATTTTATAATGAACCATGCTGGGAAGGATTTAAATAAAACAGATGATTTCTCCTAATAGGTAATATATGAAGCCTTTCCCTTTAATTTTAACTCTTATCAAGATAACGAATTCCTCTTAATCATTTCATGCAATTTTTGAGTCCATTACTCTTTTCTGACGTTTAGCATTTCCTATTATAGTAGTCCTTCTTTGGACAGAGTAGATTTGTTCAGGGGCAGTTTTCAGGACTTGCTGAAAGCTTTGTTTAAGAAGTTTTGGATGGTACATGCTATGGAGACAAATGTAAAGAGCTGGGGGGAAAATGTGTTAAGTGCTGGTGTTGGTATATAGTAGTGGGCTATGGGAACACAGCAGAAGGAGAACTTGGAGGAATTCCCGTGTAGAAGCTCAGGCAAGCTTCTTCAGTGGCAGGCTGTGTGTTCCAAATTTGACTTTTTACAGTGGATCCCAGGTGGGAGAAAAAAGAAGGTAGATTACCTGGCCTGAGAAAAGGAATAGAGGATCCAAATAATCATCGTGAAACTTTTGCAGTTTAAGGTGCAGGACAATCACCTGAGGAGCATATTTAATTTTATTCTATTATTTTTTTAATGTTTATTTTTGAGAGAGAGAGAGTGAGAGACAGACAAAGAATCTGAAGCAGGCTCCAGCCTCTGAGCTGTCAGCACAGAGCCTGATGGGTCACTCATACTCACAAATGCAAGATCATGATCAGAGCCGAAGTTGGACGCTTGCTTAATGGACTGAACCACCCAAGTGCCCCAGTGGGGAGCATATTTTAAAACGGATATTTCTGGAGCACCTATAAGTACAGTATTTGTCTCTCCTAGTAACCAGTGGAAGAGCCTGAGGTTTAGGCCTCAAACCTAAGCGAGACTTCCTAGAATCTGGGGCTGGCAGAGTCTACAGTATACCCTGACCCCCTTTACTCAGCCAGCGATGTAGATGAATATAGTGCGGTGTCTTAACCACCCAGCTTTGTGTGAAAAATCTAGATTGCAGAGTTTGTGGTGGACCTGAGGGCTCTGTCCTAAAGAATTTAGGGCATGGGAATAGGAAATGACAGAGCAGGTAAAGCCAAACATGCAGCAGGACCAGTGACCCATGCCACAGTCACTTTGCCCTGAGTGAAATGCCCATATTTGGTTGTGTTTGAAAAATATTAACATAGTATGTGCTTTGGATTGGCCTGAAAGAAATTGAAGGAATAAAATCTTGTTAAAATATATGTCAAGAGTTAACTTTTGAGTGAGTGAATTGGATGGGGGATAGTGGCAGTGCAAAAATGGAAGAGGAAGAGTACCTGTGTGGCTCAGTGGGTTAAGCATCCAACTCTTGATCTCAGCTCAGGTCTTGGTCTCAGGGTCTTGAGTTTGAGCCCAGTGTTGGGCTCTGTGCTGGGCATGAAACCTACTTAAAAAATTAAAAAAAAAAAATAGGAAAGAGCATGTGTGGAGGTAAAATTGACAGATCTCATCAAAACTTGGCTATCAAAGAGGAGAGCTGAGTCAGGTAACACTGGGAAGTCATGATATAAAAGGAGCTTTTTAATTCATGTGAATTCAGATGTGAGCATAGAGTCTGAGGTTCTTTAGAATATGTATAAGTGGATGGCCAGAGCAGGCCATGGAGAAGGCATGTGCAGAGTCTGAGATAAATGTCGGGTCTACAGGTATGAATGTAAGTGTACTCTACCAGAGTTTTAATCGAAATGACACCCAGAGAGAACAAAGAGATGAATCTTAAATGTTAAGGTCGTATTTAATTTTGAGAGAAGGAAGAGAAATAGATAGGCAGAGGAGGGTCCCTATGAGGGGACGTGGAACTGAGGCCAGGGGCAGGAGTTTCAGGATAGGTATTTTGCACAGAGGGAGAAGGAGATGACAAAATTGCGGCAGCACTTTAGATAAGTTTATTTTGGTAAGTTTAGAAATGAAATATAAATGTATCAAATGTTTTTCAAACTTTTTTTTATTATGAGCCTCAGTAGGTTTTACATTTTGGATCAAAACCCTCATTATGTACTCTCAGACTGAAGTATCAAGAAACAATATTGACCTTGGCATTGCAATGTATGTGAATACTGTTCTATGTTAGACTAGTGTATTTCATTTAAAAATTGTTTGATAGTTACACGATGTCAATTTCTCAACTAATGAGTAGGCAGTTTGATAAACACTACTATAAGAAAAAGTTGGATGTGAAGGGAAGATTGTTAAGCTCCAGTGGAATTAAGTATCTGCAGAAGGAGGTTGGCGATGAAAAGGATGGATGATATAGCTGGTAGAGTAGTGCAGCAGGGGAAGGGGAGGAGATGGCATCAGAGTGACTGGGAAGTGTGAGACTTGAGAGGGCAGTGGATAGCTTGGGACCAGTGGGTGTGGAAATGGAAGGGAAAGATATTGAGGCTGCTGTATCTGGGCAGTTGTGTTCTTTCAGCAGGAAGGTGGGGGTGATGGCTAGAAGCCTAGGAAGGTGGTTGCTTGGAAGAACTGCTGTGGGAATTCTGATCCAGATGAATTGTAGCGTTTAGGGTAGCAGGAAAATAGAGTGTTTTGGTCATTGATTGCTCAGTCCTGATTTTATAAATGAACACCCTGGTAGCAAGAAGGAGGCGGGGTGTGAGAGCAGAACACCAGGTCTCCGTTGTCGTGATCACTCTTTTCCAGACTACTTGTTTTCCCCTTTGCTTCAGTCAGCCATGTCTCCTCTCCCACTGCTTTTCTCCTAAGGGCTTTTACTCATTTAACTCATACTCAAAGGATGAACTTGATTAATGAGCAGATGAGTTCCAGAAAACCCAGATTAATGTTAAAATTAGTCTAACATTTTGTATAAAATAGATTGGTTTAAAATTAGGTAAAATGGCATCCAGTCTTTTGGAACACAAATGCCATTTTATAGGTGGCTGTTTGTCTTCCTTTTGCTAATATGAGAAGGACTACTCTGCAGTCTTGATGTATCTAAGTAAACTGTATTCTTCCCTTTCCAGATAAAGTCTCTACATGTTTCTCTACATGTTTGAGATTCAGACTTTTGTGAGAGTCTGATGACAAGACAGGAATTACCTGCAGTTTTAGGGTATTCATTGACATTTGTGGACCTCTAGGGATGATGTCTTGCAGTTAAGAACCTCTGAGTGTGATTTTTTTTCTTTGTCTTGCCACAGCCTATTATGCTTAATGTCTCCAGTCTTTTGGGACATTTGCAGAGTATGAATTTTTTAAAAGAACAGTTCATTCATCATCTTTGTATCCTGACTCTGTACTCTTGTACTTTCTGACTCAGTCTTGCCAGCCCCCAAGGTCACCATTTGCTCTTGGGGCCTGTGCCTTTGGTATTTTTGTAGGCCTTTAAATATGATAAGGTCAGAAGATAGAGAACATTTAAAAAAGAATGGAATGTGGAAAGCTTAGGAAGCAATCTGATGTGTGTTGTGTATACTGATATCCTGTTTCTCTCGACTGTTCTCTGTGTGATATTTGACACTTGCATTTTTGTAGCCTGTTCTTGCTAACAGTCCATTGTGGGGTTTGGAATAGTAATCTCTAAAGGCCCTATAATTTTTGATGCTATTTTGTTTCTAGCATAATTCTCAGGTGGCATTTGTGTTTTCTGTTTGTTGTGTTAGATACTGAGACCAACAATGACAGTGAGTCCACATCACCACAGGGGATTTCTGAAGAAAGAGATGTCATGTTGTCACATGGTTTGCAGAAGAGTATTCTTCAGGGAACCACGTTTCTAGAAACCAGTGAACTGGAGAAGCAACAGGAAATCCCCACAGTGAAAAATATTAAAGGAAAGGTTCCAAGAATCCACTGTGCAAGGAAACCCTTCATATGTGAGGAGTGTGGGAAATGCTTCAGTTATTTTTCTTACTTTGTTAGACACCAGAGAATTCACACCGGGGAGAAACCCTTTGAGTGTAATGAGTGTGGAAAAGCCTTTAATGGCAATTCTTCATTAATTCGGCACCAGAGAATCCACACTGGAGAGAAACCCTATCAGTGTGAAGAGTGTGGGAGAGCCTTTAATGATAATGCAAATCTGATCAGGCATCAGAGAATCCACAGTGGGGACAGACCCTATCTCTGTGGAGAGTGTGGAAATAGTTTTACCAGTAGTTCTGAGTTTGTTATACATCAGAGAATCCATACTGGAGAGAAACCTTATGAGTGTAATGAGTGTGGAAAAGCTTTTGTTGGTAATTCACCACTGCTTCGACATCAGAAAATCCACACTGGAGAGAAACCATATGAATGTAATGAATGTGGCAAAAGCTTTGGAAGGACTTCTCATCTTAGCCAACATCAACGTATTCACACAGGGGAAAAGCCTTATTCTTGTAAAATATGTGGGCAAGCCTTCAATTTTCATACGAAACTAACTCGGCACCAGAAAGTCCACAGTGTAGAGAAACCGTTTGACTGTGTAGATTGTGGAAAAGCCTTTAGTGCTCAGGAACAATTAAAAAGGCATCTAAGGATCCATATTCAGGAGTCTTCCTCTTTATGTGCTGAGTGTGGAAAAGTCTTTACTAGCAAAAGAAATCTTCTTCAGCACCAAAGAATCCACACTGTGCAGAAACCCTATGAGTGTGTCAAGTATGAAAAAACCTTAAGGACTTCTTCCAAGCTAGGTCATCATGACTACCCTGGAGAGAAACCTGTCCTGGACATTTGTCATTTTGGCCTCCCAGAATTTTTTACCCCCTTTTACTGGTAATAGTACACTAAATTTCCTTTTGGATTTCATCTTCCACTCTAGTAGGATGTGTGACGCAGGCCTGGCTCAGCCACAGATTCCTTCTCCTCAGCCACAGTTATTGGTTCAGATGTCAGTAGTTTACCCACGATGGTCCAATTGGAGTCCCAGGACTTGGTATGAATTAATAGGAAGAAATGCTTTTCTTTTTTTCCTTAGTAGTAAAGTTGAGAGGAATTCTTAGATTCTTGTGACAGAATGAAGTCAACACAGCCAAAGAGAAATCAGAGTTGAAGAGCAATCACCCTGGAATCTTCTGTTTGAATAACTGCTTAAGTCATATCTGAAGGCAGAAATACATCTGGGGTTTTTTAATTCCAGTAACCAATACATTTAGCTTTGTTTTTGTTCTGTTGTGTTTTTTTGTTTTTGCTCAAGCAAGTTTAGGGTAGGTTTTCTTTCCTTGCAAGAGGTCCTTACCAGTGTAACAAAAATCTTTAGGGATAACAAATCTGATGGAGAAGTGTTTTGTGTTTCAGCATTCAGTGTGATCGTTACAAGAATGGAAAACCTGTTGTAATTCAAGATCATGGGCTGCATCAGGACACCAGTATATAGAAGTTCTCTATTTGAGGGGCACCTGAGTGGCTCAGTTGGTTGAGTGTCTGACTCTTGATATCAGCTCAGGTCATGATCTCACAGTTCGTGAGATCGAGTCCCAGGTCAGGTTCTGCACTGACGGCATGGAGCCTGCTTGGGATTCTCTCTCTCCCTCTTTCTCTGTCTCTCACTTACTCGTTTTCTCAAAATAAATAAAAACTTTAAAACTTTTTAAAAAATGTTTTATTTATTTCTGAGAGAGAGAAGCATGAGCAGGGGAGGGTCAGAGAGAGAGGGAGATACAGAATCTGAAACAGGCTCCAGGCTCTGAGCTAGCTGTCAGCACAGAGCCCGATGCGAGGCTCGAACACATGAACCGTGAGATCATGACCTGAGCCGAAGTCAGATGCTTAACTGACTGAGCCACCCAGGCGCCCTTTAAAAACTTTTTTTAGCTATTTAAGCTCTGTGACAAGTTTCAGTGTTACTACAAAATTATGTCTGCATCAGTGAATCCATTCTCAAGATAAATCTTAACTATGAAGCCAAAAGCTTCCACTCTTAAAGCTTTCATTTTGTTTACTCAGTTTTTATTTGGAATGGATGCTTTTCCAGGGATGAAACTGGTAAATGCCAGGCTATTGTAGCTTTTACAGTGTGACATTTACTGGTTTGTCTAGAATAGCATGCTCACTCTGCCCTTTGATCTGGTTAGTGTGCCAAGGAAAAGCTCTGGTTCTCTCACACAGAGTGCTGAGGTGTCTCAGTAGGAAAACAAAGAGCTGGCCCTTTAGATGATCAATGTAGTCTGCACCCTCTTTTGTCTCATGCCCTTTTGCTGCCAAACATTGTGGCAGTCACCCTGCCACATTCCAGACTATCTGCTCCCAGGAATCTAGCACCTGGTGGCTTTACCATCTCTTTCTTATTTGTCAGCAGTTTAATGAGCAGTTGTATCATGTGCTTGGACTGACCAATGAGTAATAGGCTGGGGGATCATTTAACTTAAAAATTGAAGTATAATATACCTACAGGAAAATGCACAAATCATAGTTGTATAACTTAAAATGTTATAAAGAACATAGCCTTATAATCAGGAAAATACGTACCAGGACCTGATGTCTCCTTGTGTCCCATTCTAGTCATTTCTTATCACAGTCAGCTCTGTTCTGATTTCTGCCATCACAAATTTTTACATGAATGGAGTCATCAGTATAGATTCATTCTCCTTGCTGCATGGTTTTCTTTTACTTGAACATACCACAATTATTGCCTACTGTTGGTAGGCATTTCCGTTATTTCTAGGGGGATCATTTTGAGGACAGATAATCTGAAAGTCACTCCAAATAAAACTTGAGAATAAACAGGCTCTGGGACTTGGCTTCACATGCTGCCATGTCAGCCACAGCTGCCTTTAAGTAAATGATGTCACAGCAGTAATACCGTTAGCACTCGCCCTGTGCCCGGCACTTTCCTGATCACTGCACACACTTCAACGATTCTCTAAAGTGGGTGTTGTAATTAGCTCCATGTTGCAGTTGAGGAAAAGCTTGATTAGGCCACCCAAGGACCCAGAGGTGGCAGAGTAGGGCTTCAGACACGGGCAGTCTGGTTTCAGAGTGCACCCGTGTCCTGGCCATCCCAGTATTGCCCTGTAGAAACCCAAGTTAAGGTCAGTAACAGACGTGTGGGCTTTGTTTGAGGAGAGTGATAGACTAGACTCCTTAGAGATGGAGGAGAGTAACAGGAACAAGTCAAGATCGGGAGGCTGTGCCTGACTTCACACAGTGAGGGAAGGCATAGATTGAAACACAGTCTTACTATGGCATCCTCGGGAGGCAGAGGACTTGGCTCTTAGGTCCCTTCACCCTCTGAAACACTATTAGAAACTGGGTATTTTCTGTTGTGTACTTGAACCAAAGAGGTTGCTCCTCTGAGGTGTTTCAGCTTTGAGATTTGGTGATAGCCTTAGTGATGTTTAATCATTTAAATTAAATTTTTAAATTTAATTTAAATTAAAAATTAAATTTAAATTAAACATTTGTGGACTTAATTATCAAGTAGTTTGCATCCATGGTCCCTGAACCTAGTGCCATTATCAGGAAGCCTCTTCCAACTGAGTAACCACCTTTGAATTAGTTATGGTTAGTGTATTAGTTTCCTATGGTTCTGTGACAAAGTACCACGAATTTAGTGACATAAAACAAGAGAAACTTATTCTGTAAGTTCTGGAGGCCAGAAGTCTGAAATCTGTTTTCTTGGGTTGAAGTCACCATGTTGGAAAGGCTATACTCCCTGGGGAGGCTCTGGGAGGAGTCCATGCCTTGTCTCTTCCAGCTTCTGGTGGCTGCTAGCATTCTTATCTTGTGGCCACAGCACTCCAATCTGTGCTTCTGTCTTCACATCACTTCTGTGTGTCTAATCTCCATTGGCTTCTTTCTTGTGGCATTTAGGACCCACCCAGGTAATCCAAATGACACCAGCAAAAATGCCTTTTAAAAAAGTACAATACTCAGCTTTGTATTTTATCGTTTTAATGTTTATTTACTTCTGAGAGAGAGAAAGAGACAGAGCATGAGCAGGGGAGAGGTAGAGAGAGAGGGAAACAGAATCTGAAGCAGGCTCCAGGCTCTGAGCTGTCAGCACAGAGCTTGACATGGGGCCCAAACTCACAAACTGAGATCATGACCTGAGCCGAAGTTGGATGCTTAGCTGACTGAGCCACCCAGGCACCCTTGTATTTTATATTTTTAAAGTGTATTTTTGTTTCTAATATTTACATTATTTAAAACATTTTTAATGTTTTTTTTTTTTAATTAATGTTTATTTTTGAGAGAGAGACAAGGACAGAGTTTGAGCGGGGGAGGAGCAGAGAGAAAGGGGACAGAATCTGAAGCAGGCTCCAGGGTCTGAGCTGTCAGCACAGAGCCAGATACAGGGCTTGAAACCACGAACTGTGAGATCATGACCTGAGCCAAAGTTGGATGCTTAGCTGAATGAGCCACCCAGGTGCCCCATAATGTTTGTTTATTTTTGAGAGAGAGGGAGACAGAGCATGAGCAGGGGAGGTGCAGAGAGAGGGAGAGACACAGAATTTGAAGCAGGCTCTGAGCTGTCAGCAGAGAGCCCAACACCAGGCTCAAACTCATGGACCCCAAGATCATGACCTGAGTCGAAGTTGGACCCTTAACCAACTGAGCCACCCAGGTTCCCCTTAAATTTATTTATTTTTAAGTTTTCATTTTAAATTCTAGTTAACATATAGTGTAATGTTGGTTTCAGCAATAGATTTCAGTGATTCATCCCTTAAACACCCAATGCTTATCAGACAAGTGCCCTCCTTAAAACACGTCACCTATTTAGCCCCTCCCCCCACCTTTCCTCCAGTAACCCTCAATTTGTTCTATATAGTTAAGAGTCTCTTATGGTTTGCTTCCCTCTCTCCTTTTTTCCCCCATTTCCCCAGTGTTTATGTTTTGCTTCTTAAATTCCACGTAACGAGCGAAATTATATGGTATTTGTCTCTTACTGGCTTATTTTGTTTATAATACACTCTAGCTCCATCCATGTTGTTGCAAATGGCAAGATTTCATTCTTTTTGATGGCAAAAACTGCCATTTGAAGTAACATTTACAGGTCCAGAAAGTGGGACCTGGTATCTTTGTTTGGCTATTATTCATTTTTTTAAAGTTTATTTATTTTGAGAGAGAGAAAAAGAGCACAATCAAGGGAGGGGGAAGAGAGAGAGAGAGAGAGAGAGAGAGAGTGAGAGAGAGAGAATCCTAAGCAGGCTCCACAGTGTTCTCATAGAGCACAATATGAGTCTCAATCTCACGAACCGTGAGATCATGACTTGAGCCAAGATGGAGTCTGACACTCAACTGACAGAGCCACCCAGGCACCCCTGGTTGGCTGTTACTTCAAATCTACAAATAAAGTGGAAGAGGAAGGAAATTAACATTGAGCATTGCCTGTATTGTATGTACTTTAAGTAAAACAGCATATATTATTTACAACAACTATGTGCTATTACCCCATTTTTCAGATGAGTGGAGTTTCAGAAAAATGAAGTGATTGCCTGGTGTTTCATAGCTAGTCAGTGAAGGAGCCAGAACTCCTCAATATGATTCCTACTAAGTCACACTGCCTCAAAAGCTGGCTGGTAAGTGTTTTGAACTTACTGACTATACAGTGTTAAGTTAGTGCACTTGATTACACATAACAAACTTACCTATTTGTTTCTTTTTCATTTCCTGCCCACCATCTATATTGCATTTTCACATAACCTGAATATATAAAGGACATTGGGGTTTAAGCAGTTTGCTGTTTATCCAATGCGGTTTGAAATATAGCCAAATGAGGTAATTCAAGGAAAACTACCTAAAGGAACCAGAAGTACTTGGTTTGGCTATAGATGTAGTCTCTGCTTTGTCATCACCACCATCATCATGTGTGATCTCTTGTTTTTTTAATTGGAATATTTAATCACTTGTATTTAATATACTTATTAATTAATATTAGGTTTAAGTCTATCATCTTGTATTTGTTTTCTATTTGTCCTATAGTTCTTCCTCACCACCCCCTCCTGCCTTTTTTTGGATCAATACAGTTTTTATGATTTCATTTTATCTGCTTTTCTGGCTGTTTAGCTGTAACAGTTTTAGGGTTCCTTTAGGATTTAGACTCCATATCTTAAACTTATCACACTCTGCCTTTAAGCAGCATTATATCACTTCATGTATAGCATAAAAACCTTATAAAAATGTACTTCCATTTCTCCTCTCTTAACCTTTTAAACGTGCTTGAAATTGTCCCACAGCTCATGAATTATCTGTTCATTTATTGTTTAATTAAACTTTTAATTTTGAGATGATTATAGATTGACATGCAGTTGTAAGAAATAATACTGAGAGATCCCATGTATCTTTTACCGTTTCCTCCAAAGATAACACAACAATCAGGATACTGACATGGGTAAAACTCAACATACTGCACAACTTCCATATTCTAGAGCCACGACAACCCTCTCCCTCATTCCTGAAAGCCACTAACTTACATATTTCATTTTTAAAAATTGTTTTAAGAATGTTATGT